CATAATGAAACACACTTAGAGATCCTTAAGGGTACGGGTCGGGTCAGTCAGTGAACAACTCTGCTCTATTTAATTATCACGACTTAATTGTCACAGTTTCATTGGTGGGAAACTTACCTAGGGCAGTAGCTAGTAACACTTAAAAAAGCCACTGACTTGACCCCAAATTATGGGATTTCTAAGTGGAATTTAATTATGTGCCCGTCAACGATGATTTTTTTTTGAACTTTACCATTATTTGATGGCTAACAGAAGCATCTATTGCTAACATTCCTCATTTGTGTAATCCTCTGCTGCAGTTTGGCTTGGCATGTCAGTCTTATGCTTACCTTTAATTTATTGCAATTTAAACATAACAGGAGACTTCAGATATCATATTTATGCATCTGGCATATGGTTAGTAGGAAGAAATGGCATGAGATACTAATGGCATGACTCTAGGAGCACTGATGGATGAGAAAAGTCCAGTTTCAAGTGGAATTTGCCTATTAACCAAAAACTTGGTTAAATGGGGGCTGGTATGTTATGATTTTACAGGCGATGAGGGAAAGGTGAAAAAGTAATTGTAAATTAATGAGGCGGTAAGGGCCTTCCCACAGCTCTTCTCAATCTGTGTATTTAGTATCTTGAGGTTTCAAAACTAACCTTTTTTGCCTTTTGTGAGACAGTGGTTTTGTGATTTCACTGTAAGCATCAAGTGTGGGAAATTAATTAAAATTCTGGTTTAGGGTCATGTCATCAAATTTGGTGTAGATCACCATTTTAAACAGTGCATGATGCAGTTAGAACTCAACTTTAGAACAACATAAGATTGGAGGTCTCTCCTCAAATAGCCAGCAAGCACCTGGGCTCAGACTCACGTGGGACAGACACAAAACACAGTTCTGGTAGAGAAGAGGAGAACCTCTGTCACAGAACCATGTTGTGTTGGCTTACACTCAGCAGTTACCGTTCTTTGCAGAGTGAAATACTCCCTGGTTGCCTAAAGGTTATGACTAAAAGAACATTCGAAGTTGACCACTAAAAACCAGTCATCCAGTGTTGAATATGTTAATAATCCTAGAACATGCTTTTGATTCAATAAAATGGGTGGATCCTTAGTGTGTTGACTAGGAAACAGAAAATACAAATGGACAGTATCAGAGATGAAAGTGAAAGTGCTTGCCTAGTATGTGAGACCATGGGTTCAAGTCCATCATTGCATTAAAAAAGAAAAAAGAGCAGATGTATTACCGAACAGATCCTGTAGATATTGAAAGGGAAACTAGGGGGATTGGGAACATAGTTCAGTTGGTAGTGCTTGCCTGGCATGAAGCCCTGGGCTACTCCTTCCCTAGTACTGCATGGAACTGGAATGGTAATGTGCACCTGTAATCCCAGCACTTGGGAGGTAGAGGCAGGACCAGGAATTCAACATCATTCTTGGCTACACATTGAGTATGATGCTAGCCTGGGCATCATAAACGAAACAAAACAAAACAAACACCCCAATAGGAAATAAACAACAAAAAGGACAATTAAAAAACACGAGTTGCCCTAGATTTTTGTATTTAACAACTTTTGGAAACCAGTCTTTGTGAAGAAGATAACATGAATAGGCATCTTTGTTAAGAAATGTCAGTACCTTCCAGGAAAAACAAAAACCCAATAGGCTCAAATGATTCCAGTGGTCAACTCTATCCAAGTCTTAGGAGAGACTAATACCCGTTCTATACAACTCTTTCAGAAAACAGAACAGGAAGAAATCGTTCCCAACTCACTTGACCAGTAATATCCTGGTAAGAATTAACAGTTCACATCAGCGGCTCGGAACACTGACTTCTTGTGCTAACACCCTTGGCTAAAGGTAGCTCTCTTTACATGAAATTAAGGAACTGGCGTATCTTCCATTTCACTTCTTAGTTTGTTTCTTTGGGAAAAAATATACTACCAGATGTCGATTCCTACTTCCTTTTCCTTCTCTTCAGGACACCTTCTCTTCAGGTTTCTCCATTCCATTGCATTCGTCACACTGCAAGCTATTTGAAGATTTTTTGGGTGGTCTGATTGTGCTAGATGTCTTAAAATTCTAAGACACTTCCCTAGGTATCCCCCCACCCCCTTGTCTGGAAAATACACTCGCTGAGAGAAACAGGATGGCATTGAACATTCTACTTAGGAATGCCTGACTCCCATGACCCCATTTCATTGGAGTAGCTGAAACTGTTACCGTGCTATGCAAAACTGAATATGCCCTTTTTATGGAAATGGAATTTCATTTACTGTACCAAATCATCAATCTAGTTTTTATAATAGTTGACACAGATCCTTTATAAGATGGCATTTATCTAACTTTTATTTAGAGTATGAACAGTATGTACCTATGTTGTTTATACACAGAAGAGACTTTGTAATTAAAAGTATATAGCAGAGTAACTTTTAAATTCTGAATGAATGAAACCATGGTTCAGTCATGAGAGGATGCTTGAAAGAATGCTGATACAGACTGACTTGACCAGTCGTGGTCATCCTAAAGGAACCAACTTCAGTTCTCACTGCTTGCATTTTGTTTTGTTAGACATTCATCAATCATGACTAATGTGAGGGTCAAGCCTTCTGAATATACCTTTCATTTTGGACCAAATAATTTGTCATGGCAATAAATAATTATGCATTTAAGAAAAAGGGTTTTGTGTTTGACTTAATGCAGTTGTAATATGTAAGCAATTAAGCCAAGGGGTGGTGGCGGCGCACGCCTTTAATCCCAGCATGCAGAAGGCAGAGGCAGGGAGATCTCTGTGAGTTTGAGGCCAGCCTGGGCTACAGAGTGAGTGAGTTCCAGGAAAGGTGCAAAGCTAACACAGAGAAACCCTGCCTTGAAAAACCAATAAATAAGTAAATAAATAAAAATGTAAGCAATTATATACTGGAGAATTGCAACTTGTCAAAGTAGGATAAGGTTTATTTAACAGCGTGGATTTTTGTTTTCCTGACCAATCAGCAAATGTTTTGTTCCATTCCTGTTGCAAAGCTGTTTAAAGCTTTAAAGCCTTAATTTTTTAAAATTTTATTTGTTCCTGACACAAATGGGTATGATTGATTATATGGACAGATAAAACTTTTATATTAGTACATGATACAAGACTTAAAAATCAGATATGAAGCTGCGAATCATTTAAATATGTATTATGAAAATAAACAATTTCTCAGTGGGAAAAACTCCAGGAGTTTTTAGGTTAAAACTAGAAAATTATTAACCTTCTTACAAGTTAACCGAGTCTTCCCAGGATAGCTGGCCCTGCTCCTTGCTGGATACTGCAGCAGGAAACCTGGCCCCCAAAATCAGGAAAGATGGCCCCACCCCTCACCTGGGCAGCACACTAGAGCTGACCCAGTTGTCAGGAGGCGGGTGAGCCGGCCCTGAGGGCATGAGAACAGCAGAGCTGACCCCGCCTCTTTCATCTGCCATGTGGTGGCATGGATGAAGGAAAGATGCCCTTCCCCTCTCACCCCTTGCTTTCCTCTGCGGGCAAGAGGGCTGGCCCCAGGATCACAGGAGTTGGAGAACTAGCCCTGTCCCTCACCGGCTACGGCAAGCACTTGGGAGAGTGGGCCCTACACCTCACCTGGGCAGTACACTAGAGCTGACCTTGTCCAGATGCAGGTGAGCTGGCCCTGAGGGCCAGAGAGCAGAAGAGATGACACCCCCACTCTCCCACCTCCCGCTTCGTATGCCCCCTACAGCAACCGAGGAGAAGGCCCTGCACCTTGCTGGGGCAGGACAGTGGAGCTCCCCAGGGGTATGAGTGTGGTCGAAAGGACCCGAGGGCCTGAGAGCAGAACTGGCCCTGCTCCTTGCTGCAGGCTGCATTGGGTGAGTTGGCTGAGGCAGTGTTGGAGAACTCACCTGGGTGGGGGAAAGCTGGCAGGGTGACCAGCCCAACTACCACCCAGACCCAGAACCAGGGCTGAGTAAGCCCACCCCAACATCTGCCTCATCTATAAACTGTTGGAGCAGGTGAAGGGGACGAACCTACAGATCCAAAACTGCAGGATCTCCATGACACAGGACAACAGGATATCCAAGAGGAGCCCCAGTAAGAGCCCATTATCAGTGGTGTAGCAGAGGCCGAACCAGACCAATGGCTCATAGCAATGAACATTTGTGAGTACAGATGAAAGTACTAAAGGGTTAACTGTGTGACTCCATGACCACACTACAGCTTCCATGACAAGAGTCTTCTTTTTGTTTGCATTTTGTTTTTGTCGTTTTGGGTTTGTTTTCCTTTTTTTTTTTTTTTTTTTTTTGCTTTGTTTTTTTACTTTATTTGATTTTTCTTTACAGTTTTATTTTTGGGAGGAGGTTGCATGGGTGGAAGGCAGATGGGGGGAGGGAGAGATGGGTGGGATTGGGATGCATGATGTGTGATCTGCAAAAATCAATAAAAGTTAAAAAAAAAAGTTAACCAATTCTGGTCTGCTGTTGAGTGTCTGTGAGATGTGTGTTGGTATGTGTACACTAACGCAGACATACACCTATACAATGGTTTTGAACAACTAAAAATGGTTATCCTGTGTTAAGAACTAATCAGGTTACAGGAAGGGGACCTGAATTGTTTCAGAGAAGGCTTTTCTGTTGACTAAGCACCCAGGGAAGACTGCAGTTGACTATGATTACTTTAACTGAATTTCTATACAAAGTATTATGAAAATCCCCAAGTCCTAAAACCAACAGTATTTTCCAGACTGAATTAGTAAACTGTAGCCCAGGGGCTCTCTAGCCAGCAGGTGCTATTGGACATCTGCTATTGTGCTCAAATGGAAGAAAATTCATCTGCTTCCAGAGCCAAAGACATCCGCTACGCGGCCCTTTACACAAAGATACCTGGTAGACAGACAGCTTCGAAATTGGAGCTTGTTGCAAACAAAAGCCGACAGTTAACTTAAAGGACAGGGAATATGTGTAGAAAGTAGGGAAACGTCCTGTTCATTTAAAATATAATTCACAGGATAAAAACTAGTGTTTTTTTGCAACAAATATTTAATATTTAACTGTTTTACAGAAAACAAATTTAAATAACATATACTTATTTTTGCTACCGATCATTTCACAAAGCTGACAAAAATACAGAGAGCAGTTCTGTGATCAACAAGAAGTTTAACACTGGGAATTTTCTTCAGGCCTCCACTTGCACGGCTGACGAGACCACGCAGACTTGCGCAATGTCATCATATTCGTAGGTTCTCTTTAGGAATGTGTCAGTGAGTCTTAAGCCAGAGACACTCTGGGGAGAGAGAGAGGGGGGTACTTCAGTTCTCACTCCCTGATAAGTACTAGAGAGAATACGCGATCAGAAATGATCATTTAGCCCACCCCGTTGGTTACCGAAAAGAGCACGTACTTGGAGCCCCTGTACTGATGACAGGAGAGTGAGGGCCAGGCAGAGTGAGGAGCTCGGGTGCAGCTTCCCCAGCTGTCTTCCTGAAATCCCACACCAGTGGATAGAATTGGTGTTGCACATTTCCAGGACGAGATCCATCGTCCTTTCACTGCTGAAGCAATCAGAGAGCAGGAATAAATCTTGTTGATTTCCTAAGGAGACACCATCACATTCCTTCTAATTTTTCAGTGAGTTTACTTTCTGGGTGTGTAGGAGAATAAAAACCAGAAAAAGAGTGGGAAAAACGAGCATGTCATCATTTGACTTAAGATGGAATGCAGGAGCCAGGGACCACTGGGGAGTTAACAGCAGGATGATCAAGGCCAGCCTCAGCTATAGAGCTAGTGTGAGGCCAGCCTGGGCTATACGGAGGTACTGTTCCAAATGAAAACAAACAAAAAGACAGACTAAGGATGATGAGGGCATGGCATCCTCCAGGCTCACGGAAGCCTCACAACAGCCTGTCGCTGAGGTGGTTTTCCAGTTGTTAGTGAACAGGGTTCCTGCTGCCCGAGAGCCACTGGCCTTGTCTTTTCCCTAGACTTCAGACATTCAAATCTCATTTTATTGCTATGCCTCTTACTCTTTGTACCAGGAACTCCACAGGAAAGACGGACAACCTAAGTCTGTTTAGTCCTTTTGACAAACACTCTGTTCTTGGCATGCAGCTAACAGGAAGTGACCGGCAGGATGCAGAAGGAAAGACCATTAACACTTCCTGACTGTGTTCCCAGGAAGTCTCTCTCCTGAACGCAGGGACTACTAGGTCAGCTTACACATGCTCATTTTTAAAGTTTTCACAAAATTATGCTAGAAGGTTCCAAAAGACCAGATTCCTAGTCTAGACCTAGATTCCTAGACCATTACATTCAGTTCTTCAGCTTTTGTATGTCTTAGGATTTGGCTCCTATTTTACTATTTACTTAGAATTTAACTTACATATTGAAAATGTATTTGCTTTTACATGTTTCTCTCTCCCTAACAAACATTAGAAATGCCCTGTGTTAGAGACCATTTTAGATGCACAATGCGATTTCCTCAGTAAATTCTGTAAAAAACCTAGTAAGTTTTTTATTCTAACGTTGGTTTATTATTTATTTATTTCGTGTATGTGTGTGTGTTTGTGTGGGTACACATGTGCTGGTGTACATGTGGGGGTCAGCGGACAACCTGCATGGGTTGGCTCTGTCCCTCTTCCCTATGGGTTCTGGGACTCAGACTGAGGTCATGCTTAGCAGCAGGTGCGCTAACCCACTGAGCCACCCTACCTCTCAGAGTCTGCAGACGAGGTCTCTCTGTAGCTGAAGATGACCTTGAACTTTTGGTCTCTTCCCTCCGTTTCTCAAGTGCTGGTGTGACAGGTAGGTGTCACCAGCTAGAGATCCAAGTCAGGGCATTGTACATCCTAGGAAAGCACTCCACCAACTGGGCTCCCCCCACCCCCATCTCCCTTTGCCCCCCACCATAATGTTTTTATATTGTATGTTGTGTGTCTGTATCCACATGTGTGTGTGTTCAGGATCTGATTTTTATAGATGAGGAAATTGAAACTCTTACGTGGTTTAGACAACCTAATTGAATCGCTACATTAAAACAAACATCAAAAATTAGATTAAGATTTTTTACAGTACTTTCAGTTAATCAATAAGCTTTTTTTGACACACTCCCCCCAAAAAAACTCAAAATAAAAATCCCCTGGATGCACCCTACATTTGCACATCTTTGCCTGGATGTTCACTGAGATCTTAGGGCTGGCAAGCACTATATGTAAACTAAGATCTGCCCCTTCTGAATAATTCACAATCCAGTCATAGAGAGATGAAGAGGAACAGCAATGCATGGATGTTACCACAAAACTACGCTAAAGCTTTCTGTGGAAAAGACTGAGGGGCTGGGAATGCAGCTCAGTTGGTAGCCATCCCTAGCACCCACAAGGCCCTGGGTTTGATCCCTAGCACTTCATGAACAGCATGGTGGCACACACCTGTAATCCTACCTAGCACCTGACCCGGGAATGGGGGTAGGCGATCAGAAGTTCAAGGTCATCCTAGGCTTTATAGGGAGTTCAGTGGTAGCCTGGGTTAGAGATCATGTCCCAGAACAACAACAACGAAGGTGTAGTAGTATGTACATAGTAGCTTCATAGAGAATCAGGCATTTCTGTAATTTTGAAGGGTATTTCCTATTTCCTTAAAACTAAGAACTGGAATGAGTATGAGAGTAAAGCGATTATGCAGCTATACTAAAAGGGATTCATCACTGCAACACTACTGCAATACCCAACTAATAACGTGAGAACTAGCAAGACAACTTTGCTGAGATATAATTCTTATGCTGTCAACTGTCTATCATCTGTTTCTCCTGTTTACCGCCAAAACTGCTTAATGGCTGGCTGTGGTGGTGGATGCCTTTAATCCCATCACTCCAGGAACCAAAGGCTAGTAGATTGCTATGAATTTGACATCAGCCTAGTCTACAGAGCAGTTCCAGGCAAGCCAAGGCTACACAGTGAGAGCCCGTCTCAAAAACAAAACAAAAAACTTTAGCCTGTATTCCTATCACTCAGAAAGCAAGATGACTACAAGTTCAAGGTCAGCCTGGACTATATAACAAGACTGTCTTAGAGAACACTACCAAAGAAAACAGGCAATAGACAAAAATCGGAGTCATTTTTCTGGCCTATAAGTCCCTCTTAAGTTTACACCCACATTTCTTCTTGTTAATATTAAAGATATGGCTCAGGTTCAAGCATCAGAGAAATGTATCTGAGTATTCTCAATCTGTGTCATCCCATAAGAACCTGTGCTGTGGGATGGTCTGTATGTCAAATGTGTTGCTGATTGGTCAATGAATAAATCACTGATTGGCAGTGGCCAGGCAGGAAGTATAGGCGGGACTAACAGAGAGGAAAATTGAGAGAACAGGAAGCTGGAGGGGAGACACTGCCAGCCGCCATCAGGATAAGGAAGATGTAAAGTACCGGTAAGCCACAAGCCACGTGGCAAGGTATAGATTAATAGAAATGGATTAATTTAAGCTGTAAGAACAGTTAGCAAGAAGCCTGCCACGGCCATACAGTTTGAAACCAATATAAGTCTCTGTGTTTATTTGATCGGGTTTGAGCGGCTTGGGACTGGCGGGTGAGAGAGTCTGTCCTGACTGTGGGCCAGGCAGGAAAACTCTAGCAACAAACCTGCCAGCGCATTCTTTAGTACTATGAAATTTGAATGAAGTATAAATGTGCTTTTTCTAGCTCTCTTCCATAGACTGTCAATAAATAATACCCACCACGTTATGATTAATGAATGAGATAAGAACACAGGAAGTAAACACTAGGACCTTAGATATAGATAAACATCGCTACCAGTGTTATAGTATTCAGTTTAAGAAAGGATAGGATATATTATAGTCACACACCTGTAATCTCAGCAATGTGGCGGCAGAGGCAGGCGATCTCTGAGTTTAAGTCTAGCCTGGTCTACAGAGTGAGTTCCAGGATAGCTAGGGCTACACAGAGAGACTCTGTCTCAAAAAACTGAAAGAGGGTAGGGGGATACTGAAAGGATTTGCAAGTACTTTTAGGTGAGGAGAAAGGAGGCCCAGCTGCACACATTGGCATTACCTGCAGTTTGTGATTTTACAGGTAATGTGGAACGGCTCTTCTAGGTTCACGGTATCTGGGATGGCCTCTAAAGATAGCCTAACATCTCCGTAACCTGGAGCCTGTGAAAAAAAAGTAACACAGTTGAAGTACAACTATTAAAAAACCTTTTGATGTTAATGAAGGTACCATACCAGCACCTTTCCTCAACAGACACAGGTCTCCAAGCTGAGGTTCTGTGAAAATACTGCTGCTCTGCTCAGGTCTCTCTCTCACCTCGTCTGCTGTGAGCTTGGGTGGAACAACCCTGCAGACCTGGACCATTTGTGATATAGTTACTCCAGGCTCAGGAGAATTAAGATGAATCTTGCCTCTAGATAAGGAAAGAATTAGGACTTAGGGTATCTGATCTCAAAGGGTTGCTGAGTTGCTGTGGGATGTCGCTCTGTACGCTGTGAATATGTGTTGCTCTGATTGGTTGATAAATAAAACGCTGATTGGCCAGCAGCCAGACAGGAAGGATAGGCGGGGCAAGCAGACGAGAAGAATTCTGGGAGGAGGAAGGCAGACTCAGGAGTCACCCGCCAGACACAGAGGAAGCAAGATGACAAAGCAGAACTGAGAAAAGGTACCAAGCCACATGGCTAAACATAGATAAGAATTATGGGTTAATTTAAGTGTAAGAGCTAGTCAGTAATAAGCCTGAGCTAATGGCCAAGCAATTATAATTAATATTAAGCCTCTGTGTGATTATTTTATAAAAGGCTGCGGCACTGTGGGTGAGAGATTTGTCCTGACTGCAGGCCAGGTGGGACGGACACAGGAAATCTTCCTACTACACTGAGTCCCAGACCAGCCAGGGCTACAGAGTAATACCCTGTTTCAAAACAATCACAAGAAAGGCATAAACAGTAGGCAAGTGCTGTAAGTCTATGAGGTTCAGAACACCGCCTAGAATACCTCAATGTAATGTGAGTCAGATAAACAGTGAGCACGACTTAGGAAAGATAAGAATAGCTGATAAGCTATCTTAAATCCTATTTGGTGAAGTTAAAAAAACAAAAACAGAAACCATATACTAAAGAGAAACCAACATCTGACTGAACGTTTCCATGAATCTCAACACTAAGTTTCTACCCAGGGATCAACAAAAGTATTCGCATTTTCTAGAAATCTGAGTGAGTTTATGTGGCTCTGCTTTTTTGTGCCGTCCTTTGCACCCCCCCCCCCCCCCCCCCCCCCCCCCCCCCCCCCGACGAGCTTTTTAGGCGCACCATTCTTTGAAGCTGGCTGGTCTGCAATCTTCCCCTTTCACCTAGGTTTGTTTTCCACACTATGTCCAACTTCCCAATGACCGTCACTCCCTTAATGATGCCAGCTTTTTCTGCAAACTCCTTCTTGGGCTTTAGGCAGTATAAGTACTGGCGTGTATCCATTGGCTGCAAATATCCTCTGGATCCAAATGTAGATACACTGGCAGGTGTGGAAATAGACAGAAAAGACTCTGTTAGCATCTTTCTGAAGGAAAAACTACTCACGTGGCTAATTCATCTTTTTTTTTTTTTTTTAAGACAACGTTCCTTTGTGTAGCCCTGGCTGTCATGGAACTCGCTTGGTAGACCAGGCTGGACTCCACCTCACAGAGATCTGCCTCCCGAATGCTAAAGGTGTGTACCACCATGCCTGGCCCACACAGTTAATTCTTTTGGATAGGAATGGGATGATTTACTGCACAGAGTTCTAGGAGTGGTCAGAGGTTTCAACCCAAATGAAAAGGAATGTCCGCCTGGTGAGACAGTGAGTTCAAGGCCAGCTTGGCCAACTTAGCGAGACTGTCTCAAAACAAAAGAGTGAAAAAGAGGCTTGGGGCTATCGCAGTGGTCAGCACTTGCCTCGAATGTGTGAAGCACTGGGCCAGTCCCCAGTACCACCCTCCCACCAAAAAGGAAGGGGCGGGGCAGAGAGAAACTAACTTATAAACAGAGCAATATATGTTATTCTGTTTCTTTGTGTGGAGCTGGGGACAGAAACCAGGGTGTGGTATATGCAGGGCAAGTGTTAAACCATTTAGCTGCACTACTACCCTTGAGATCATACCATTCTAATCTCAGTAATTGCTTTCAAATATGAAGAATGGAAAGTTGTTTTCTCAGTGAAAGTAGAGAAGACTATCAACTTTTCTGTATCTCACCACCACACGAATTTTTTGTTACTAGGAATTACTAGGAATCATTATTACTAGGAAAATCAGGCACTCTCTCCAGCTATTACTTCCTCATTTATACTAATAATACATTTATTTATTCCTTCTCTCCAAAATAGCTATAGAAAGACAATGTATACCTTTCACACAATAATTAAAACCATCTACTCTAATGTCCACATCTTCTTATGCATAGATAATTTTTTTCAAGTTCACGTTCATCCTATCTTTATTTCCTAATATCTTCTCTGCTATCCTTCCCAGGTTTCAGTTTTATCATTTGCAAGATAATAATGATAGTTTCAGATTTATCTGAATGAAATATGAAAGTTAGAGACCAAGTGCAGCTGAGCAGTGGTGGTACACACCTTTATTGCCAGGACTCAAGGAAGAGGCAGGTGAATCTGAGTTCAGGTCAGTCTGGTCTACGGAGCTACAGAAAGAAACCCTGTCTTGAGAAGGGCGGGGGGGGGGGGGAAGCAAGAGGAGGGAGGGAAGAAGGGAGGGAGGGAGAAGAAGAGAGGAGAAGAGAGACAGCAGGGAGAGGGGGAGAGAGAGGAGAGAGAGACACAGAGAGAAAACAAGTACTTTGAACAGTGAAACACAAGATGGGAAAAGATAAGGCTCTTTGTGTTTATGTAGAGGGAGGTACAGTAGGTGTGAACTCTTCAGCAATGGCAGACATGCCGTTATGCACTTGTCCAATGTTACAGTGTGTACGTCACACACATAGACTTCAACTGTGGACTTTTGCTTGTTCTAAGAACATTGGCCCACCAATCGTAACATGTGCCACATTAATACAGGACAGGAGAGCTGGGCACAATGACGTGTGATGCTCCCGGGGAAGTTGGGGCACAAGGCTAACTTGAGCCTAGCCTGGCAACATGGAGAGAGCCTGGCTCTAAAACAAACAAACAAATAAAAGGCACATTAAAAAAAAAACCAACAAAAACCAGAAGGAGAAACTGATCAGGGAAGATAACTTATGGGACTTTTACTTTCTCATTATGTTTTTGACTCATCTAAAGCTTCTCTAAAAGTTATGTCCACCAGATTATTTTAAAACAAATCCAAATCTACTCACGTAGGGGACATCAGAAAAGTCTGCATCTTTCGAAGGAATAGCGAACATTTCATATTTACCATTCCCCGGCTTGGGTCACGGAATTCAATTCTGTTACGTTGTACATGATCGACGGCTCCAGTGACACTTTCTCCATAAACATGGGTGAGGTTGTAATGTTCTGAATTTGGGCTTCAAGAAAGACTTCATCAGTCTGAGGACATGGAAAAAAAAATCCACCAAAATGTCATGGTATTTAAAGTATTTACCTTAATGAAAATAAATTATTTACTTTTATGAAAAAATATTAACCACAAATGTGATTAGTTCATGCCTGCAAATCAAAATTATCACAATTAATGCAAGAAAAGAAATCTTCATCCTAACATAATAAACAGGAGCAAAGTGAGGTGTTAGTCAACAGGTACCCTGCCAAACAATGGATGTGGGATAACTAGGGTATATTTTGTAGAATCCAAAAGTATGTATTTAACTAGTATTTCAGTAACAACAAAAACTCCAAATCTGATGTTAAAATGTTAGGAGGAACTTCAGTGTGATGGGCTCACTCAGACAGAGCTAAGGGAAGAGAACCTGGTCTTCATTTGACTATTCCAGCATAGTGCAACTAATATGTAATTACTTCAACTGAGATAGTGACCACTAGCTATGAATAATCTGTTTTTATACCCTTTAGGGTGTAACTTTTTAAATTAAAGCAATTTAGAAGTAGTCTGAATCACTTCTTGGTTCATTTTATATGGATATTTAAGGTTGAAACAAGAGTATGAGAAGTGGCCTAATGACATTTCAGCTTCTAAATCAGTCACACTGAAGTTTTCTGTGGACTTTGACAATTCAAAATGACATCATTCAATTTCAGTCAGTGGGTAACTTAAACATTCAATTTACAAAAACATTTAATTCCCTGGTTATTTCTGTTAAACATCCTGAATTTTATGTCTCTTGGTTCAGGGTCTCCTTTGAGTGAATAAATGTTATGTCAAGGGTATTCAGTAGTTACATTTTTTTCCCCCAAAAAAGTTTCAGTTATAAAACTTGGAAATTAACTATGCCCTCAAATTGGGGAATTATGAGCTTTTTAAGTGCTGAAGTCACAAAAATGACAATAATGTAAAATATGATGAAATCATAATTTAATGTGCCTAAAACAGATTCCTTAGCCTTTTAGACATGTGCTCAAATGAAAATGTTAGTACAAGGACTTTTTTTTTTTTTTTTTTCGAGACAGGGTCTCTCTGTGTAGCTTTGCGCCTTTCCTGGAAGTACAAGGACTTTTTAAAACAATCTACCTTTTTTGTTTTTGTGTTTTGAGACAGAGCATCTCTATTAGCTCTGACTGTACTGGAACTATGTTGACAAGGCTGGCCTCCAACTTACAGAGACCTGCCTGCTTCTGTCTTCCAATTGCTGGTGAGTAAAGGTCTGTACCACACCTGGCTAAAACAATGTGCCACTGAAACTCATCATTTGATTACTTTTTTTTTTTGAGACAGTTTCTCTGTGTAACAGTCCTGGCTGTCCTGGAACTCACTTTGCAGACCAGGCTGGCCTTGAACTCACAGAGATCCATCTGCCTCTGCCTCCCAAGTGCTGGGATCAACAGCGTGAGCCACCACACCCAGCTCAATTATGTTTTGTTAAGAAAATAAGTGAATATATCCCATAAATCCATTGCTCTTAAAATAGCCCAAGGCCCACATTTCAGTTTTTAAAATGCAATTCTCTGTATAAACTGATGAACAGCTTAGATAAAATGAAAGGAAGACAGCATAATGGAAAATCAAGTTAGTGTGAACAGTTAGTATGAAGTAATCTGACATCTGAAAAACGAGGTGGAGAATTTAGTGCCAAAGCTGCCAGTGCTGTTACTACACATAGACACAATAAGCAGATGCTGCCTATTGTGACGAGGACGTGGAAAACGTGAATCCGGCCAGTGTGGGAAGATTGCTTCTCTTCTGCTTGTGTTTGTCAAAAGGCCAGCTTTACCTGACTTTACCCACACGTAAAACCACTGTGCCTCTCAGAATGAATTTCAACTGGACATCTCTGTAAGGAATGAAAGGCAACTGGATATTTCACAGCAAAATATCAAAAATAACAAGGATAAAGATAATGAGATTGTATGTTTCTTCTAAAAAACATCCCAAAAAACAGAAAATGAGAATGCGGTTGTCTCAATGTGACAACTTAATTTTTAATCTCACAAACAATTTAAAAAGTATGCTCAAATTGTATATTTTCTGTCTGAAGTCACAGATGTAGTATTCACAACTAACTGTTTTTCCACTATGTTTTATAGAGAGATTAATTAGGCAAAGTCAAAAGTGGGTGAGAAAAGCATATAAATTTATAATAAAAAATGAAATTACCACAGAACTGAGGTCACTCTAATGGAAAAATAAAAAAGAAAAATTAGAAAAATCAGAGTTAAATGTTAAAGAAAAAGAATAACTTTAAAATAAAATGCATATCTGCATTTTTTTTACGTACTAAAGACAGCATTAGTAAACAAGAAAGTAAATAAGAAGCAACATACAGAAATATGACAAACTACTTTTCTAAAGGTAAAATTGCTACGGTTAAATGACAATGGGACAGAGAAGAACATTGTGGCTGAATATTTAAACAAGAACAAATAGGAAACGGCACTGTGAGGGTGGAGTCTGCCCACTGTTACACTCTTTACCTGTACAGTCACTCTCCTGTGACACCCTTTACCTGTACAGTCACTCTCCTGTGACACCCTTTACCTGTACAGTCACTCTGTGACACCCTTTACCTGTACAGTCACTCTCCTGTGACACCCTTTACCTATACAGTCACTCTCCTGTTACACTCTTTACCTGTACAGTCACTCTCCTGTTACACTCTTTACCTGTACAGTCACTCTCCTGTGACACCCTTTACCTGTGCTCCAGTCTCCTGTGACACCCTTTACCTGTGCTCCAGTCTCCTGTGACACCCTTTACCTGTACAGTCACTCTCCTGTGACACCCTTTACCTGTGCTCCAGTCTCCTGTGACACTCTTTACCTGTACAGTCACTCTCCTGTTACACCCTTTACCTGTGCTCCAGTCTCCTGTGACACCCTTTACCTGTACAGTCACTCTCCTGTGACACCCTTTACCTGTACAGTCACTCTCCTGTGACACCCTTTACCTGTACAGTCACTCTCCTGTGACACCCTTTACCTGTACAGTCACTCTCCTGTGACACTCTTTACCTGTACAGTCACTCTCCTGTGACACTCTTTACCTGTGCTCCAGTCTCCTGTGACATTCTTTACCTGTACTCCACTCTCCATACCTCAGATGGATGTATACTCCACCCCACATTGAGAACAGAACATCATAAAGCTTCTCTTGAATTTACCTAATGCTGGAATCATTTTCTAGAGGAGGATCTTGGGTGATTCAAATTACCATAAAGTTGCCACAGGTCATATTTCAGGAAATATTGGGATAGACCATTTCAGACAATTCAGTTTATTTTCTTCTTATTGCTATTAGATTTCAGTCTATTATGCATTATGTAAATACATATTTAAAAATAGACTTATTAAGTCCAATGTCAAATGACACCTCCTTCATTAAATGTATAGCTGGTGATAATTTGTCACTGCTATGTTCCTGAAGTGTGACTACATGTCACTGTTGGGGACACAGAGAATCACCTGTATTATGGTTATATTATGCAGTCCCCTTCAGCAGAGTAAGTGTCCTGGGGCTAGATAAGTAAGATACCTGCTTACATAACTTCACTTCCACACTTGACATAAGGATTTGAACCCAGCAGGTGACAAATGTCTGACTCCTAGCTACCAATTTCTGTGTCTTCCTGCAAGACTTTCCCAGCTTAGAAAACTACAGCAAAAGTTTTCATGAGACCAGTTTTTCTTTTGATGATTCACATTAGCATGATCAGAAACAGTATCAAAACATGTTTGACAAATACATGGCATAAGGACCGTAGTGAAGTGTTACAAATCAGTCATTCTCAATGATGTGCTTTACTAAGTACTTGAAATACACCATTTGACTCACGCTATTGACTGAACAGTGTTTGTTGGTCTAATTTGTAATTTTGAGAAACTTTTAGACCATGGAGCTTTTTTCCACGCTTTGTTTCTGTTGATGTGATTTAGATTGCTCCAACTCCTTATCCCATTGTTGCTGGATGTGCTGTCGTAAGTCATTTTGTTAATTATATGCATGTTTCCTTTACTGTAACAGCTAAACAAGTCTCGCTACAACACACACTTTATACTAAGCAACAGTATAACAGGGCTGCTAATTTCTGATCACCACCTGGTATGAGTAAAAGATACAATCTCCATGACAAAATTCTGCATTTGAGTAATTCTTAATCTATCCTAGAGATTTTGAGGGGTAAAAGGATTTTTCATAAAAAGAGTCCTCATTTTTTCAAGCCGGGGTCTCACCATGACATCTCAATTTCTACAGCTCTGGAGATAATAAAGAATTTTTTGGGGAAAATCCAAACAAATAATCCAAATAAAAAAATCCTTTCTCTTAGGGTCAGTCCTACTTATTTTTCTCTATGCTACACAACAGATCATGTCCTACTCTTCAAGTTACTTCTTTCTCCAGTTTTGTTCAACTCGGCTCTCCCAGTAAGCTTTTAAGGCACTCGTGGCCCGGCTCTACTTGGTACACTGACTTCCCAGGGTGGACTTGCTGCACTTCTCTTCGCGTGGATACTTCTCTTCGCCCGCCACTTTAACCTTGTAACATCCAGAATGCCACTGCAAATATTTAGCAGACTGCTAGTGTTTGAGAGCAACACCACCACCACTGTTATGGAGGACTGTAGGGCAGTTGTTTAACAAAAAGGGTGAATGTCCCAGAACACCATGAGAGTAGAAATCAAGACACGCTGATTGTATGTAGGTGGAAACTAGAAGAATAAGGGATACTTTAATGAAATTTACTTCCTACTGGAGTTTAGCTTATTATCACAAATAGTTCAGTCATATCAGCAGTTTACTTCAACATGACAGGAAATGTAACACCTCAGGTTTTCAGTCAAGATTTCAATGTTTAATTTGAAATCTTATCAAGTGCCCAACACTTACCTCTGCATTGTAAAATTTGGTTTTCACATCCAATGGTTTGAGAACCTAGTTAAAACAAAGCACGTCAATCAGGAAATTCAGATTTGACTGTTTTTGTTTGTTTTAGATCACAGGCTTTAATGACTCAAAGTCATGTCTAATTTTAATTGTTGAAGTTTTTTTTAGTGTATATGCACTATTCCTGCACAACAATCAATAATTTTTCATTTAAATAATTCTTTGGACATTTCATGATATTTTCAATCATCTTATTTGGGCTTTTTTTTTTTTTTTTTTTTTTTTTTTTTTTTTTTTTTTGGTTTTTCGAGACAGGGTTTCTCTGTGTAGCTTTGCGCCTTTCCTGGAACTCACTTGGTAGCCCAGGCTGGCCTCGAACTCACAGCGATCCGCCTGGCTCTGCCTCCCGAGTGCTGGGATTAAAGGCGTGCGCCACCACCGCCCGGCTTATTTGGGCTTTATACTCATTTTATCCCTTTATATTTTTGTGTTCTGTCTCATCAATAAAATAAGATCTTATTTTTTAAATAAAATGTTTCATTTTATTATGAAAACATTATTCTGGTGATGATAATTTATGTTTGAACTTAACTTAGTCGAACTTTTGAACACCAGTTTATGAATGAACCACAGAAGTGAGCTACTTGAGTTATTTGAAACCTGTTTCCCCCCAGAAAAAGAGGAATAATTACACTTCCAGAAAAACAAAAGGCTGATGGAAACAACTTTATCTCTGCCATATTCAATACCTGAAATTTGAAGAATTTCCTAAAGTACATTTTTTCTCCACCCTGAGTTGTGTAACTCACAGCGCACACCAAGCTGAAACAGAAAGATGTCTTAATATTCCGGAATCATTTCCCATCTCACTTCTTAATAATAAACAACATATTTCAACTGTACTTATAAATGTAAAAAAGATTATGTCAACAATGTGAAACTGTATCTAAATGAGATTATAGCAGGAAAAAAAGTTTCAGTATATACAGCTATAAATACATGAACAAGAAAATTCACTTTAAGAAAATGAGATCGGGGGCTGGAGATGACTCAGTGGTTAAGAGTTCCTACTGTTCTGGCAGAGGACATGGGTTTGATGCTCCACTCACAGGGCTGCTCATAATAGCCTGTTTGACTTCAGTTCCAGGGTATCTGACACCCTCTATGGTCTCCAATGGCTCGTACACACACCTGATGTAGTAACAATATTTACAGTCTCACACACATACACATAAATTAAAAAAAAAGTAAAAAATAGATACTGAGCCCTTTTGGAATAGGAACTTCAAATTCTTCCTTTGGAAGTAGAATATGTTCCAAAATAATTTCCAGAATAAGCATGACTGATGGGGAAAAAGAGTTCATTTGCACTAGAAAAATATGCATCTTAAAGGAAATCCAGGGTAGAGTTATCATGATGTTATTGGTATAATACTATGTACAAATTTTAACCAATACACTCGGAAAGCTAGGTGTGGTGGCACATGCCTTTAATCCCACCACTTGGGAGGCAGAGGTTGAGGCAGGTAGATCTCTGAGTTCCAGGCCAGTCATGGATACATAGTGAATCTCAACAAAACAAAACCCATTAAAACAATCGAAGAGTTGGTATAAAATACTTCTAATAACACGATAAGATGGTTAAATTGTTAATATACAAAGGGTTCTTCTAACTCAATCAACAAAGTACAAATGTGTCACTCAAAATATGAGGAAAAGAATGTATATCCAGATTATGAAAATACATAGATATGCTACAATCCTATAAACAGTTAATAAAAATGTGAAGTGGTAAGTCACATACATAGCCCAGAAACCTACATAATGAAATAATCATTTTCAATCTTACAAGGTTTGGCAAGAATCCCTTAGGTTAGTGATGGTTAGAGAAACTTAGTTTCTTTCTTTCTCTTTTTTTTTTTTTTTTTTTTTTTTTTTTGGTTTTTTGAGACAGGGTTTCTCCGTGTAGTTTTGGTGCCTGTCCTGGATCTTGCTCTGTAGACTAGGCTGGCCTCAAACTCACAGAGATCTGCCTGCCTCTGCCTCCTGAGTGCTGGAATTAAAGACGTGCGCCACCACCGCCCGGCTGAAACTTAGTTTCTTTACATTACCAGAGGGTGAAAGGAATTTAGAAACAATGCTTTCATTTAAAGCCTCGAGAATGTTGATGTAGTACCACAGAGTATCTACTTCAAGACTTCATAGGCAATATTGGACTACTCATTATTTTATTGTTTATAGTAGCAAAAACTGAAAATATACTGTGACATTAGTGTAAACAAACCACATTGACCAAACACCTAAGAGGCAGTCATTTAGAAAATCATGTTTTCAAGGACACTGAGTGATGTTGAATAATATTCACAGAAAATTGAAAAAGATAAAAGCTTGAGTAATGTTATTTATATATATATTACTATGCACATATATAAAAATATACATATTTATATATATTTATATGCATTTAAAATGACTAGGAAATACAAGAATCTTTTAGTAGCTCTACACAGCTTGGTATAAATATATAACATATGCATATATACTTATATGCATATAAAATGACTGGGAAATAATTTTTTAGCAGCTCTACACAGCTTGGTAACGTTGGGTAATTTAATTTCTCCTTTATACTGGTGCCTTATACTGATGATAGGAGCTAGAAAGCAAGTTGATCAAAACAACACCAAAGCTGGGTATGATGGCATATGCCTCTAATACTAGTAGGGGAAGCTGAGTGTGGTGATATATTGTGCACCCCAATAAAGCTTGCATGGGGATCAGAGGACAAAGCCACCCACTATATTAAACACAGAGGTCAGGCAGTGGTAGCACATGCCTTTAATCCTAGCATTCTTTGGGAGGCAGAGATCCATCTGGATCTCTGTGACTTCAAGGCCACACTGGGAACAGAGCCAGACTTGGTGGCACACACCTTTAATCCCAGCTCTAGGAAGGAAGGAAGATGGAAGGGCACAGAAAGGGATATAAGTCGTGAGTAATTAGCAATTCATATTACAGCTGAGGCAGGAGGATCAGATTAGTTACATACCAAGTTTAAGAGCAATTTGACCAAATAGTGATAACCCCATCTCGACAAAACATAACACCCCCAAACAAGCAAACAAGCAAATGCACAAACACAAACTCCCGTGCGCACACGTGTGCACACAGCAACAACAACAAAACAAACAAACAAAAACCCAGCAATGAAAACCAAACCCAAACCAAACTCCCCCAACACGTGCCCTGGAAGTGTTCACAGTAGAAGTTCTACAGCACCTACAGGCTTTGAGACGAGGCTCGAACAGAAATACTACGGCAGCCACAGGGTTTAGACTAGCCTGGAGCTCTGTGTCTTCTAAAGCAGTTGTTTAGTTCATTTCCTACAGAACGGTGACTCTGCACACCTACTCCTGGAAGCTCAGCTTCAGTGACTATGAACCACTGTTCTCTGATATTTCCCCAGGATATACACACTACACGGACTTCATATTATTTTAACCCTCTAGTAACTGTAAAGACAAAAGACGGGAAAAACCAACAGGCCGTGGAAGCTGTAGACAAAGGTCAGGACACCTTCTCTGAGGAAGTCATGCTATTTCTGAGATACGAGAAATGATACAAAATGCCACAAGCAGCTCTTTGTAAGCAAACACGCTTTACACTACAGAATGAGTTTGGGGTTAGAAGAGCACCCACATGAGCACAGTGTGGAAAGAGAAGGCAGAATGGCATAGGCGGTGGATTATGGTATAGATACCTTTGGAAAGCACATCAGAATTCCCAAAAGCCAACGGGAAAGCTCTCAAAAGCCAGGCGATTAATAAATGGTGGCCTAGAAATATGGCTTCTAGGAAATTCTAATCCAAAGTTCATATCAATCTCAAAATATATAGTAAAAAGTGCCTTCAATAGAGCTGGTGGGAAATCCTCTGATCAAATAATTTGTATTTAATATTGGCTGTGTTACATGCTTTAATAGATAGAATGAGGAGAAGAAAAGGATGATGGAGGCGGAGAGAAGAAGAATGAGAAATACTCTGAAGAGACAGCGTCCGTGAGGTGACTGGCATAGGGGTGCCATGGGAGACTGAGAAGCCTAAATCATTTCAGAGGGCTGAAATGTCCTCTTGTTTTCAGACTGAAAAACAGTATTCAGATTCAAACACATTCACAGGCCAGGAATGCAAAACTTGAGACTTCTTCATACCTTGTCTTCTTTGGTTCTCTATTTGACTGTCAAGGTACGATATATACATACATACATACATATATACATACATACATACATATATATAAATAGAATTTAAAAATACACAAAAAACAAAAAAAGAAACTAAATAAAAAAGGAGTAAAAGCTGTTGAGAAGTAGTAAACTTAATCCTTACATGTGTGTCCCAATTTCCTTTACTTCATGGTGTATGACATCATCAATACAACAATCAGGTTTAAGTTCAGCCACAGCAGCATTGGAGGCTGAAAGGTTTAAACGCTGAGAACTTGTCTGAAGATCCGCCTTGAAAGAAAGAGGTAAGAAGTATCCACATGAGGCTGGTGAGACACCTACAGTGTATGGATGGGCATGGGTGGGAAGGGTAGCGGGGAAAGCCGGCTGATTGTCTGGGAAGAGGAAGAGGACCAGGGAGCGCAGGGAGGCGAGGGGGTTAATGAGGGGTAGTGGTGTGTTTCACATTAAAATACCATAATGGAACCCATTAAAGGGATAAAGAGAGAGCACTACTCTCCTGTTTGGAACTATGGCAAGACCCACAGATACACACTGCAATACCAAAATCAACGACACCAACCAGGAAGCAGGGAGAGTCCAGGACCAATACAAACAGTAGCATGAATTTAACAACACCAGAGTGAACACGACAACCGCAGTAGGGGGAAGAGAAGGGACAAAAAGAACTAACCTGAATTTGGAAAACAGAATCTTAGTCAAAAGACAACCCAAGTTATACAGGGAATTCCTTTTCATAGGGTTATAAGCTAACGATCTTCAAACGTGTGTACATACCACGATTAGACAAGCAAGCATATATGCACATATATATTTAAGTATGTGTGTATATATGTATAAATGCATGTATGTAGATATATAAGTATTTATGTAAGTATATATGTGTGTACATATGATTATGGATAATGAGAGAGATAGGTTTTCACTCCTGGAGTAAAAAGGTACAAATCAGAAAAACAGGGAAGTCCATATTGCTACCTTTCACGCTAGATGTGACTGAATCATCATTATGAAAATATGAGGTTTTTTTCTTTTTCTTTCTTTTCCTTTGAGACAGAGTCTCATATAGTCCAGGCTAGCCTTGAACCTGCTGGGTAGCTAAGTATGACTTTGAACTTCTGGCTTTCCTGCTTCTACCTCTCCAGTGCTGGGGCTGTAGACATGAGCCATGGTGCCCAGCTTGAACATGTGTTTATTTTTTCTTTAAGATTTTTTAAAATTCTATGTGTGTGAGTGTTTTCCCTGCATTTAAGTGTACCATGTACATGCATGGCCTGAGGAGGACAGAGTTGACATGAGATCCCCTGGACTAGAGTTACAGATGAGCAGTCATGTGAGTGCTGGAAAGTGAACCTGGGTCCTCTGGAAGAGCAGTCAGTACTCTAACCCACTGAACCATCTCTCCAGCCCAAACACATGGTCTATCTATCTATCTTGGTTAGATGGGAGTTTGCTAAATGGATAGGTATATATATATAAATGCTTGACTAAGTAACACTAAAAGATAACCATTCAAATATATTATTAGGTGTTAGAGGCTAATTTAAGTATAGAGGTAGAAAATATTGAAGTTATCAACTAAGGAAGTTTATCTCTGAGCGGTGGTGGCACATGCCTTTAATCCCAGCACTTGGAAGACAGAGGCAGACAGTACTCTGAATTAAAAGGCAGCCTGGTCTACACAGAGAAACCCTGTCTTAAAAAAGAAACAAACAGACCAGCAAGAAGAAAGCTTGTCTCTCTAATGTAGCAATGTCTCCTACTTGGCTACTCTCCAGTCAATGTCCCCCTGACCACTTTGGAACGTTTGTCATTTTAACTGTCTTAGCAGCTTCTTTTTATGTCAACTATTGACTACAGGCTCTTACTTCCTTTGCGACATGTAATATGACCTAAAATTACCTTATTTGTGATATTTTTTCTTCCTTTTCCCATACTAGAAATGTCTACAGAAGCAGGAACCCCTTGCCTTCTCCTGTTTACTTCTACATCACAGTTCCTGGCTGTTATTAGTTAGGATTCTCTAGAGTAACAGAACTTACAAAATGCATCTCTCTCTCTCTCTCTCTCTCTCTCTCTCTCTCTCTCTCTATATATATATATATATATATATATATATATATATATATATATATATATATGTGTGTGTGTGTGTGTGTGTGTGTGTGTGTGTGTGTAATTATATATAAATATATACAAATAACTAATAAATATATATAACTAATAATTATATATAACATATATTTATATATATATATATATAAAGGGGATATATTAAAATGACTTACAGCAGTGATTCTCAACCTTCCTAATACTGTGACCCTGTAATACTGTCCCTCATGCTGTGGTGATCCCCAACCATAAAATTTTCTGTTGCTACTTCATAACGGTAATTTTGCTACTGTTCTAAATCATAATATAAATATATGTGTTTTCAGATGGTCTTCGGCGATCCCTTTGAAAGGGTCATTTGGCTCCCTAAAGGGGTTGCCAGCCACAAGTTAAGAAACACTGACTTATGGGCTGCAGTCCAGCTAATCCAACTATGGCTACCTGTGATTAGAAAGTAATAGTTCACAGTAGGAACCTAGTAGTTGCTCAATCCACAAGGCTGAGTGTCTCAGCTGGGCTTCAGTCTATGCTGGAATCCAGAAGAACTAGGCTCTAATGTCAGTGAAGGAATGGATGTGCTAGCAAGGCGAGGGCAAGCAGGCATAAAACAAAAGATTCCTTCTTGTGTGTCCTTCTATAGGCTTCCAGCAGATGGTGTGGCCCAGATTAAAGGTGAATCTTGATTACTGAACTCCTCAGCTGAAGTCTCCTTTTGATAAGTATATACATGGGACACAAGTATCTTCACATCCTTTTCCCATTTGGAGAGATCTATCCATATACTTCTTTCCCAGATGTCTTTCTCACCAATTTTCCAATTACACTCCTTCCAAGGCCCTGACCATCCAGCCAATTCATTGACTATAGCGCAGGAGTCAGTGAACAATCGCACATCTGGCCATTTTTCCTTAGAAACAAAACATATGGCCATGCGCACTGCTCACAGTTCTGCCCACTGCGAAGACTTCCCTTTACCAGTGATTTCCAGTGTTGTCCCAGAAAGAGGTTGTAATGCTACAGCTGTGCATTTCTGGGTGGTGCCTCCATAACGAACCATCGATAAACCAGGCTCTAGTCTTCTCTTCCTCAGTCAACCGATCAGAGGGAACACCCCAAGAAGCTATTGATGAATGCTTAGCAGTGGATGGCATGGTGACAGGAGTAGGAACCATCAGCATTTGGGCAACTTCTTCATGTAACTTTCTTGTGTCTTCAGGACCTGCTCTGACCCAATCACATATATACCACTCCCATTTGATAATAGATTACTGCTGTGCACATCCTATTTTGTGACTGGGTGTATCAGATAGCCTCCAGCTCATTCATGACAGGCAGCTCAGGGTAACTTGGTGGCCCATTGTCAAACATTCAGTTTCCACTAAGGCCCAATAGCAGGCCAAACGCTGTCTTTCAAAGAGACAATAGCTGTCTGCAGATGATGGTAGAGCCTTGCTCCAAATTTCCAAAGGTCTCTTCGGTAATTCACCTATAGGGACCTGCCAAGGCTCCAAACAGCATCCCTATCTGGCACTGACACCTCAAGTACCATCGGGTCTGCTGGGTCAGATGGAACAAGTGGTGGAGCAGCCTGCACAGCAGCCTGGATCTGCTGAAGAGCTTCTGTTCCGGACCCCACACAAAGCTAGCAGCTTTCCGAGTTACGGTACATGGGCTGGAGTGGCACACCCAAATGTCACTTGTGCAGCAATGCCCTCATCCATTAAGCCTCCTCTTCAACCCTTAATTTTCCCCCCACTTTGTAGTTAATTATAACCTAACTTTCTTAGTGCTGGTCATTTTTTATTTATGCTGTCTCTTTTGTTATGCTGAGTTATGAAATAGTAATAACTCACATTTATTGGGAACTTACCATGTATACATTCTGGCTGTTAGACCACTGATCATTTAATCCTCACAATTCTGAAGTGGGCAGATCTAAAGTATTATCTCACTGTATACATGATTAGAAACAGGCACAGAAAATAACAGCTTCCTCAAGGTTAGTCAACTTATATAAAATGAAGCAGGGGTTCAAAATGTTGTACGCATTTTTATTTGGGAGGGAGCATTCTTCTGCTTCATTGATTTCCTGTCCAATGTACAATATGAGATCACTGATAAGTTCATGTGTCATTTTTTACTAATATTAATCATAACAACACTTATATGACTGAGTAATTCTTTCCCTTCTTTTGACACTATTAATAATGTTGTACTGAACATTTATTCCTAATTACTTATTACATGCCAGAGTCTGTTCTAGGAGTTGCAAATCTACCAGATGACAAACCAGCCCCAAACTCCTGCCTCTGTGGAGTTTATGCTTCTGGAGAGGTGTCAGGGCAGACAACTAAGGTAGAAGCTGGAAACTTCTCTTTACAAAGCATGTAACACATATTTTAGATTTTTTTTTTTTTTTTTTTTAGACAACAGATTCTATTCCAACTATAGATCTTACATTGCAGCTGGAAACCAGTCATAGATTACACAATAACAAATGAGTATGGTTGTATCAAGTAGACTTTATCTACAGACACTTAAGTTTGAATTGTATAATATCATGGAATGTTGTTTGTGATGATATTTTATTTGTGCTGAAACATGGTGATATTTTATTTGTGCTTTAATAAATAAAGCTTGCCTGGAGATCAGAGGAATAGGAACAGCCATTATAAGTAAACAAAGAAGTCAGGCAACGATAGCACAGGCCTTTAATCCTATCACTTGGCAGGCAGGAATCTGTCTGGATCTCTGTGAGTTCAAGGCCACACTGGAAACAGTCAGGTGTGGTGGCACACACCTTAAATTCCAACACTAGTTAACCATAGAGGTCTGGAGGTCTGTGCAGACAGACAGGAAGTGATAGAGCTGGGCAGGAAGAGGAAGTGATGTAGCTGGATAAAGAGAGCAAATCAGATGGCAGAACAGCAAGGCATATAGTTGTGGGTAGACAGGAAGTAACTCGCATTTGGAAGCTGCCCAGTTAGTGAGGTGAAAACTGCCCAGTTGGTGAGGTAAGGTTAGCTGTGGCTTTCCCTAATTCCCTGATCTCTCTCAGGCTTTCAGCCCTATATCTGGCTCCGTGTTTTTTTATTAATAAGAATTTAGAAATTCATCCACAGTTGTTCCTTTTCTATCATTTGGGAACAAACAAACAAACCTGTTCTTAGGTTAAAAGTCTTATTAAACAGGCTGTGTACTCTACCAACCCTTAATCTGATGAAAGGTACAGACCCTGTCCATATGTGACTCAACATTTGCATCCAGCTTCTGAAGTTTGATAGGTGAGAAGTGAAATTTTATTTTCTGAGATCTTTTTTAACTTTAAAGCTCTATGGATCATCTTCAGAACCACTGCAGTTAAGACATCTCTTTTAGCCAGGAGGTGGTGGCACACACCTTTAATCTCAGCATGTGGGAGGCACATGCAGGCAGAGTTCCAGGCCAGCCTGGTCTACAGAGCGAGTTCTAGGACAGCCAGGGCTACACAGAGAAACTCTGTCTCAAAAACTTCATATATATAAAGACTTCTCTTTCAGCAATACTCTAATAGTCTAACTTCCCTGCTCAAAGACAGCTTTGAATCAACTTCTCTTCATACATTTTTTTAAATTACTTTTTTAGTAAAAATACAAGTAATAGGTATACGATATTTTCATACATTTGTATCATTAGTTTGTTCATATTTACTCTTCCATGACTCCCTTTCCTTCTTCCCCTTTGATTTTCATGTCTCATATGTATCATTTCAAATCTATGCTCAATGTATGAGATGAAACATGAAATATGCAATTTTTTCTCCTTTGCTTGTCCTCTTGTTTCCTCCTCTCCCTCTCTTTAGCCTCCTTAGTGCTTTGTCTAGTTTCATATTACATATGTATGTATGTATACACACACATCCATTTATACATGTATACACATACACATCCATATATATACATGTATACACTCACATCCATTTATACATGTATACACACACACACACACACACAGTTCATGTAATTTTAAAGTCTAAGTTCTGCAGATGAGTGAAAACATGCGGTCTGGTGTTCTCCCTCTCTTTTGTTTAACATGATCTCTAGTTTCCAGTCACAGAATTCCTTTTCTTTACAGCTGAACAGAACTCTGGTGTATATACGCCACATTTTCTCTACCCATTCATCACATAGTGGATTTTCACTTCCTTTATCTATGCCCTTTTTCTTCTGAATACATTTCAAGTTGTTAAGGGACTGGCGCATTCTAGTGTTTGATTTCTCAACTACTTCAAGAGTCTTCTAACTGCTCCATTTCTTGGATGATCACGATGCTCCATGGTGATCACACAGCCTTCCTAACACAAACTGACTAGTTCTAGTGAAAGCCCAGCGTTGCTGTTCTAAAGAGTTTTTTGTTTGTTTGTTTGTTTTTTTCTTTCTTTTTTAGCTAAAATCTTAGCCTGGCTATTAAGACACTACACTAAAAAGCTTTACCACCTGACATGGTACGTGAGATTTTGTTTTCCTCTAGAAGAACACACTGATTCAGTTTCCCCCAGCCCTATACTCTTCCCCTAAATCCTACCTGTCTTCCAAGAGCCTCTTGTCTTTCTCTCCTCTACTATGCCTTCCTGCAACCAGGAAGTGACTTCTAGCTTGTTTCCTCCTGAGTCTTTCAAGTACTGTTATGTTATCACACACAAACACTACAACTATTAGACTGAATGGTCATTTTTCTCATCCAGTCGATCGGAAACTTTGAGAAGAAAGACAATGTTTCTGTGTCCTCCATAATATTTGGTACTCATCAGTGTTTGTTAATGACATTCAAAAGTCTAGTATGGACCATGAATTTTAATGAGGTTTCCAAGGCTCAACAGAAATAAACATTTTTATCCAAATAAAATGCTTTGTAAGTAAGAATGTCACTTACCTTCACCAATATGTCTTTTACAACTTGATTGCTGTCATTGTGAACACTGATATAACTGGAAAAAGTCTCTCCCAAAAATATATTCCTGTGAAAGGAAACAGCATTTCAGGCAGAGACTCATCCAGTCCCGATGGGAATCATTCTGTCCACGTAAGAACTTCAGGTGGAATAACATTTACTGAAGAGTCAAGGAAATATTTCTTCAGTGTCCTTTATTTTCATTAGGCACTTCAAAGTGAGAATGGAACTACATGTGATATAATACAGCTGTCAGCTGCTACACAAATTTCTGGCCATCGTGGAAATATGGCCACTGTAACCAGTGCTGGGCTGTCATAAGAGTTATATCCGAATAAACTAGAAAATGCCATTTTCATCTTTTTAAATAACTTATGCTCTAAATCTAGAACTTCCAAGTTAATTCATCTTGGAGAACTTTTTCATTATTTTCCTAATAAAATGACTACTGGCTTTACATTATATAGCTTTTTGAAAAAAATTGTACTAACTTTTATGTGTACAGGTGTTTTGCCTGCAACTGTGTGTGTGCACCACATGTGTGTAGTAGGTGAGCAGACCAGAAGAGTCAGACATGTGGTAGTTTGAATGTAATTGGCTCCCATAATCTCATAGGGAGTGGCACTATTAGGAGGTATGGCTTTATTGGAGTGGGTATGGCCTTGTTGGAGGAAGTGTGTCACCGCTGGGGGTAGGCTTTGAGGTTTCTTATGCTTAGGATACTTTCCAGTGTCTCAGTTGACTTCCTGTTGCCTACAAGATGTAGGACTCTCAGTTACTTCTCCAACACCACATCTGCCTGCAAGCCACCATGTCCCACTATGATGATAATGGACTGACCTACCCCATTTAAATGTTTTCCTTTTGAAGCGTTGCTGTGGTCATGGTATCTCTTCACAGCAACAGAAACCCTAACTAAGACAGATGTCCTGGAACTGGAGTTACAGGCAGTTGTGAGCAGCAATGTGGATGTTGGGAATTAAACCCAGATCCTCTGGAAGAGCAGCCTGTGTTCTTAAGGGCTGAACTACCTCCCCAGCCCCCACTCTATATAATTTTAATAGTTTTTACATCAATATATTTTCAAGTTTTCAAGATACTAGTTTATGATTATACCCTGTAGAAAAAACAAAAACATAAAAACCACATCAAACCTGAAAAATTCTTTTGTCTCAAATTTTCCCAGTTGTGAAAATAGGCTTTTTAAACTCATTGATAATACAGGATAAGAGAAGAAATAAAAAAAATAGTTTATTAACTGATAAGTCTGATAAGTTCTATAGAGAGAAAGGTGTGAATGAGGCCCAGTAGGAGAGCTGCTCTGAAAAAGCAATGTCAGTAAGCTTGACTAAAGGCACGTACAGTCACCGCCAGTATAAGACCTAGGGGTATGCTAACAGTGTGTGGTAGAACACAGAGTCACTGCCAGTGTAAGACCTAGGGCTGGGGTATGCTAACAGTGTGTGGTAGAACACAGAGTCACTGCCAGTGTAAGACCTAGGGCTGGGGTATGCTAACAGTGTGTGGTAGAACACAGAGTCACTGCCAGTGTAAAGACCTAGGGCTGGGGTATGCTAACAGTGTGTGGTAGAACACAGTCACCACCAGTATAAGACCTAGAGCTGGGGTAGGTTAACAGTGTGTGGTAGTGCCAGATAGACAAGACCTATGGCTTTAGTCACAACCCAGAGAACAAAGCTAAAATGCTATCATCATTTTAGAACCACTATTGACACTGTTCTATATTGCTTTAAAAAAATAAAAATAGACTGTGGTGGCGCATGCCTTTAATACCAGCACTCGGGCAGCAGAAGCTGGAAGATCTCTGTGAGTTTAAGGCCAGCCTGGTCTACAAAGTGAATTCTAGGACAGCTAGGGCTGTTACACAGAGAAACTCTGTCTCAAAAAAATAAATAAATAAATAAATAAAATAAAATAAAAATAAAGATAGAATCATCAAGAGCAATTTGTATGAGTTTTTACCACTTACGGAGCAAATAGCACTTTCCCACTCTGCACACAAACAGGACATAACATTTGGGTATTGCTGCACATCTTATGTCAACTGATCATTCTTACCCGAAATTTTGGGGCAAAGTCAACATTTCTCCCAACATTAAAATCTCTGCACCATTTACAGTTGAAGGATCATCTCTCATTAACTGGTTAAAGAGATCACCTGCAGCAAGAGAAAAACAAAATTCTAATGCCTACCTTTATTTAAAGCAAGTGCTACTTATGTAAAGAAATGGGGACCAGTGGGCAGCACAGTGGGAGAGCACTTGCCTAGGATTCATGTGACCAAAGTTTCCTCCACCTTGTCTCAGCTGGAGCTATCTTTGATTTGACCTGAAATTGATTTTCCCTTTTTCTACACTGGTTGTGAAAAGTCCCACAGGAAAGTCCTGAACCCTGTTCCAGAAACTCATCAGGGTTGAAATGTTCCGGCTAACTGCATGTTTTTGGCTTCTGTTAGACTGCTTGCTTGCTTCTTGGCTTGCTTTAATTCCCCTTGCAACTGCAAACAGGATGCAGATTTTCTGTGTTCTTTGCCTTCAAAAGCTCCTTGTAACATGCATTTGAGGCTGCTCCGTGAGACTGTTTCTCTCCAGGCAGTCTCTGGCCTGGTTAATAATTAAGACTCTCAGCCAGGTGGTGGTGGTACATGCCTTTAATCCCAGCACTCAGGAGGCAGAGGCAGGCAGATCTCTGTGAGTTCAAAGCCAGCCTGGTCTACAGAGTGAGTTCCAGGACAGGCTCCAGAGCTACATAGAGAAACCCTGTCTTAAAAAAACAAAACAAAACAAAACAAAAAAATTAAGACTCTCAATTCAGACTTTGCTTGGGCTGAGAGGCCTCGCCTTTGTGTCTCTAAACTGCAGCAATAAAGCCTTGGATTTGATCCCTAGCAGCAAGGGCAGGTGGGTGAGGGAGATTTCCTTTTAATCTGGACAAAAGTAGTATTACAATTTTAATTTTTAACTTTCTCAAAACAGATACAACTGAGCGTAGTGATACAAGCCTGAAATGTCTAGCACATGGAAGTAGGAGGCAGGAGGTTTATGAATTTAGGGCCAGTCAAAGTCCTGGTGAGTTCCAGGCCAGCCTGGGCTATATAAGTCTCTGTCTCAAAAACAAAAAATGAGAAGTAATATTATACTCATTTTTGAATTACAGTATCAAAATTCAATATACATTACAACATAAGATGTCATTCCTAAATCTTTACTAATACAAAACATGTCAAAAAAAATTCTGGCCATGTGGTATAAGCTGATAATCACAGCACTTGGCAGGTTGGGACAAAGGGAACAAGAGTTTAAGACACCTTGAGATATGCAGTGAGACCTCGTCCCTAAAATAAAATAAAATTAAACAAACAAACAAAAAAATCTAATCTCATAGAGAATACTTCAAAAACAAAGGAAAATGCAGGTCATAAGACATAAATAAACCCTAGAAAAACCAATAATTCTAAATAGAATGCTAATGCATATTTGAGGACTCAGGTAACATTCTGATAGTGTTAGGATATGAATGTATCTTAAACTAAAAGTCTCTTCTTATCAAAGGATAACATTATCTTGAACTGTAGGTTATAAATGAGCCCGATCTCTCAGATGGCCACCATTCACAAGGTACAAATACAGGCAACACAGAATTCAGCAAATGGTTAGTATAAGAGTGGAAAGGAGCTGGGTGGTGGTGGTGGTGGTGGTGGTGCTGCATGCCTTTAATCCCGGCACGTGGGAGGCAGAGCCAGGCGGATCTCTGTGAGTTCGAGGCCAGCCTGGTCTACAGAGCGAGATCCAGGACAGGCACCAAAACTACACAGAGAAATCCTGTTTCAGGAAAAAAAAAAAAAAAAAAAAAAGTGGAAAGGGTAAGCTTATTTCAAAATAACGTGGACAACTCAAGCTTCAGCTTTTCTTTACATACCAGGCAAGTCTTTCTCTTCACATGTTACAGGAATATTGGTGAACAAAGTCGGCTTAGTCAATCGCATCACTGTAAATTAAGAAAGACAAAATGTTTAAATTGTTTAGGGTCAATATTCAAGTAGAGTGCACAGTATTCATCCATTTCATGCTAATATAACTTAACTATAATATTAAATATAAGTACTAACACTATACTCTACAAGGTCAGTATTATTATCTCCATTCTATGGACAAGGCAGACAATGCCTGTTGAAGGTAATTTGTACATCAAGGATTATAAATAGCACGTCAGCGACAGAACCAAAACTAGAACAGGAAGGCTCCACACTGCTCAAAAGGTACTCCCCCCAAACAGCTCTTACTTGTAAATTTGGGGTCACAAGGCTGAAATGTCTTATTAAAAGTATCTCATTGACGTCAAGCAGGACTCTCTTCCAAATAACGTTAACCAGCTTAAGACATGGTGTTGGTGTCCACAACCTTCACTTACTTTTTTTTTTAAAAAACGATTCATTTATTTATTTATTTTTTTTACGTATATGAGTGTTTTGCCTGGATGTGTGCACGTGTACCATGTGAGTGCCTGATTAGAAGAGGTCGCAAGATCCTTTGGAACTGGAGTTATGGAGAGGATTGTATAAAGTGAGGGTAGGTTCACGTTCTATATCCTCCAGCCTTAGCCCTCGTAGTATGGGATTATAGATGTGCACCACAGCTGTATGTGCCACATGAATGCAAATTTGTGAGACACATACTGGGCAAGCAGAATTACATAAATAGCTCACTCCTTAAACTTTATTGTCCTTGTTTGAAGTTTTGAGACAAAGTCTCACATTATAGCCCAAGATGACCTGGAATGGGTCATGAAGTTCAGGCTGGTCTTGAACTTTGGATTCTCCTGCCTCAGTCTTTCAAGTGCTAGCATTATAGCCACAAGTCATCACACCCAGCTCATTCCTTGAGTGTTTGAGATAATGTGTCACTAGTAGCACAGGCTGTCCTGGAACTCAAGAGATTCTCCTGCCACTGCCCCCTCAGTGCTGAGATTAGGGAGTGCACCATGCTGTCTCTCCTGGAGCTTTAGAACAAACTGGGTCTCAATGTACTTTTCTAGAGGACAAAATAAAACATGACAGTATCAAATGCATGTTTACAACCATCTCATGTCTTCTAATTAATGGGTCTCAAAAACTGAAGATGTTAGGTACAAAAGAGCAAACTGTACCTAAAAAAGCAAGGTTTAAGGAACTCTGACAGTAGACTGGGAAGATGGTTCATTTGGTAGAGTGCTTGTGTACAAGCATCAGCGCCTGAGTTAGATCCCAAAACCCATGGTGGTGTGGTGGTGACATGTGTTACTTACTTGCTGGCATTATTTACCAGACTCGAGAAAACACGAGGTACAACTGAACCCACTGTAAGAATTTTTATTAGGGAAGGGAAAGGGTGGAGGTAGGTAGGCCTACCGAAAGGAAAGGGTATGTGTGTGTATGTTACCTTGAGAGAGCGGGGAGTAGGGAGAGCCTGCTTTTATAGGTCACCTCTCAAATGCTCATTTGGGCTTATGTAGCTAAACCACGCATGCGCATAGATTACATGCTCATGATGCGTGCAAATTACATCACCATGCAGCGCACAGATTACAGAGGGATTACATAGGACGTAAGGCCCTGGAGTAACTAAGTATTTTGCCTGACTGCTGACAGGGCATTCGAGGTCAGGACTCCAGAAGCGGTTAGGAATAATAACAACATGTGCATCCTTGGCACTTGCTGGCCAACTTGTCCAGTCTACTTGACAAGGAAGAGAGAGAGACTCTGTCTCCATAAAAGCAAAGCAAACAAAACAACAAAAAACCAAGGTGGCTGGTGCCTGAGGTGCCTGGACTGTCCTCTGGCCTATGTATGTGCACACATAGAAGAAACACTGACAGAGCAACTAAGGAAGTATTAGTTATTGGATAGTAATTTTATACCCATGCTTGAATGTTAAAGTAAGTTATTGGTCAAAAATATCCATTTTAGTCTTTTTTTTAAATAATTTATTTATGTATTTGAAGTATACGAGTGCTCTATTTGCATGTATGTCTGCATGACAGAAGAGAGCATCAGACAGAAGAGGGCATCAGATCTCATTACAGATGGTTGTGAGCCACCATGTGGTTGCCGGGAATTGAACTCAGGACCCCAGGAAGAGCAGACAGTGCTCTTAACCTCTGAGCCATCTCTCCAGCCCCCCATTTTAATCTTTTAAGAAAAAAGACACATGTAAGTTTTAGTTGAGAATCAAATACTCACTAGGCACACCAGATAGTACTAGTGCCTAGCATGGAAACCTCAAAACACACACATTCACTAGAAATCTTAGTTAAGGCAAAAGCCATGAACTAGTGAACTAGGGCAAGCACAATTTGCATATTCATTTTGGTTGGGCAGAATTATTGAAACTAGGCAGATTCCACTTCAGATTTCAATGTCTTTACTGGGTGTTACGGCCTCACCTCTTCGGCTCTCAGAGGCATTCAAGACTGAACCCTAGATTAATTTTTGGTATTTTGTGAAGGTTAAGTAAATTACTGAGAACTCATTTTGGAAAAAAGTCAAACCACATCTGTTATTTAAATTGGGAGATCAAGTTAGGTTTGTCCAAGACCAGGTCAAAGTTAAAACAAACAAACAAAGGCTTGTAACTTGGATGTCTCTACGTCTTTTTACTCTGAATTTGTTTTAACATTTATTTAAAGGCAGACGGTTAACAAGAAAAAAATGCTGATAGCGCTACCTCTTTCCTGGAGTGCTGACTGCATTTTCCCAAATGCTCTCACTGATTTATCTTTCCATACTTATCTTTGTTTCCCTGGTATATTCTATATTTGACTAAGCAGCGGGATCTTGGAGCAGTAGAATCAGAAGCAGAATCTCCTATTCTTTTAATAAGTTGGGCCAAGCAAAATGAATATGCAAATTGTACTTGACCCAGTTCACCAGTTCATGACTTTTGCCTTAATGACACCAGCTAATGGCAGAATCACCTGGCCCCAGGGATCCACATGTAGCACTAAGTTTAAAACCTGATATCCTTTTAAAAGGCTTCTAGAGGGCCAAAGAGAGCGGTGGGTAAAAACGCACTACGCCTGATGACCTGAGTTCACGTCCCGGGACCTACAGGGTGGAAGGAGAGACCCAACCAACCCCCACAAGCTGTCCTCTGACTTCCATATATGCACTGTGGGTGTGCACTCACATGCAAACACACAAATAAGTGTAACTTGAAAATACAATAAAAGCCTTCTAGGAAACAACAGTGGGTCCAAGTTCTCAGGTCTTGAAAGCCTCTTAAGACTGTTAGCCTCTTAAGACGGGAAATGAATCTTTTCTTCTTTCGGATCACTATGCTATTTGACGGGGGAAAAAAAAATCTTCTAAATTTCAGTTTTTACTTTCAGGGTTTCTCAGAGAAGTAGAAATCAATTCATCCAGAGTAAATCAGAAAAATTGAGATCTTCCATATGAAGAAGCTCTTTTTAATTCTTGGATTTAAAAATGGTTAATACTCTCACTGGAACTTACACTTCTGGCTTTGTTATAAACTTTTCAAAATAACAAAACTACCACAAAAGTGCTATGATTTCTCAATATTTAGTCCTTGATTGGCAACCTTGTGATAAATACAAAATGAGACATACTTAAGACTTTTAATTTTACACGCACCCTGCATTATACTTAGGTGAGTAAAAAAAAGTAGATTTTCAAGGATTCACTAAAATTCAACCCATTTATTTAAAGTCAATCAGTGATAATAAAGACTAGAACATTTCCTCTCAATTTTAATACAAACAACAATTCATCACAGTTCACTTAAAAGAATACTAATAAACAAAATCTAGAATGTTTCTGACTTCATTGACAAGCCTTGGAATTATGTGATACTCATTTATATATTAGACACAAACTGTATATACATTAGACAATTATTTCTTCACAGTATAAAGAAGCATCAAATTTTAAGTCATTAAAATTATGACAGTAAAATTTATTCACTTTATAATTTCAGTCCATACTCATTTCAATCAGAATATTTTTTGTGATGACCAGAATTCATTACATACTAAAAATAACACCATATTTATGCACAAATAAGTCAATTTTCCCAATAAGAGATAATCTTTCTTTAAGAAGACTTCCTACATATTCACAGTGCATCATATCACAGAACACCCATATCTGGCCTAACTGTCTCTGGATGGTGGCATTACATGAAGGAAGTTCATTGTGCCTGATGAGACGATTGAGTTTTGTCCAAACGTCTTCCAGAGTCTGGTTGTTGCAAACACTGTATTCTAAGGTCCACCTTCCTCTGTGAAGGGAGTGCAAATGCAGTGTCTTTAAACTAGCTTGCAATTTCTTAGATAAAGGAAAAGTATTTTCTGCACAGTGTTTGGTGGCAAGTGAAACGCTCCAAGACCTCTTCCTGTGCTGTTTCCCTTTTCCTGAATCTCTATCCAGATTTCCAGAGTTATTTGGTTCATTCAGCATGTGTGACTGGATTAAGCGCTGAGTTTTCAAACTAGGTTGAAACTCCAAAAGATCTACTGTGCAGTCATAGCTCTGTAATTTAACACTAGGTTCTGAAATGGTTAAGTACTGTCTCACATTCTCAGCAGCCTCTCCAGAAATTACTGGTGGTAATCTTTTAGGCTTGAGTGGAAGTTTGGACCCATCTTGTGGAAACCAAGGAATAAATCTTGATAGCGGGTGAGTAGGGAAGTCCTGAATTGCCTTTTCTGCAATTTTTGCCAGTTGTGTGGGATCTTTCTCATATGGCCGATAATGAAATATTACTTCAGTAGTCATTCCGCAGTAATCCATTAACTCTTAAGAGAAAATTGCTTAGCTGAGTTCTTCCAAGCTAGAACGTAATTTATTATTTACAAGACTGTCTCTCTTGTCAAATCAGAAGCAACAGGACCTAAAGTGGAAGTATTGCAAAGAATAAGATTTGGTGGGAACAACCTGCATACAGATGGGCAGGGAGGAGAAAACCCACTCCCCATATGGTATTTTAACAAAGTGCTATGGCAGATGTGAATACAATCACACACTTGAAAATCCCTTCTCACAACAATAAAGTATCTACAATGGATTCCAATGAAGATTATATCTAGCCTGAAAATGTTAATAGTCAATATGTTTAACTAAGTAGATATAAAGGACTTTGAAATATTATCATTAAAATGTTGGTAATCATAGTCCTAAAACCATATGAGAAACAAAAAATTGGTGATTCTTACCACACAATGTAATATTTAAAACTGGGGGAGGGGGGGAGGCGGTGCTGGAGAGATGGCTCAGCAGCTAAGAATACTAGTTGCTCTTCTAGAAGGCTCAGGTTCAATTCCCAGCACCCACATGATGGCTCACGACCATTTATAACTCCAGCTCCATTACTAGACACCCTCCTCTGGCCTCCATGGACACTGAACATACATGGTACATAGACATACATGTAAGCAAAACATCCATATAAATAAAGTCTTCTAAAAAACACTGTTAAAAAACAGAAAACAAAAAACAAACAAAAAAAAAACAAACAGAAAACAAACAAAACAAAATGAACAAAAAACAGAAAAACAACTGTGACTTCAAAATTAAGGAAAAAGAAATTACTAGGTTTTTTTAATTTTGTTTTGTTTTAGTTTGTTTGAGATAGGGTTTCACCATGAAACTCTGGCTATCCTGTAACTCACCGTGTAGACTAAGAACCGCCTGCTTCTGCTCATCTCTGCTTAGATTAAAAATGCGCAACATCCTGCCCTGTTCAAAATTACTAGCTTAAAAAAAGTATATAGGATAAAATTGATATGCTTAGTCTCTAAAATTTTAAGACAAACTGCTAAACGGTCTTATTTATATAAGTCTTATTTATATATATATATATACTTATATACTGGGGTAAAAACTGAAAGAACAGTAAAGCAGAAAGAAGCCAGCCACACTCTTACCACTTGGGAATCCTCAGCCAAAAAGACCTACTTCCTGTATACCCAGGCCTATATGCCTTTCTGTTCTGCATCTCACTTCCTCTCTCTGCCCAGCTACATCACTTCCTGTCTGTCTGTACAGACCTCCAGATCTCTATGGTTAGTGCTGAGATTAAAGGCGTGTGTAATCATGCCTGGCTCTGTTCCACAGTGTGGCCTTGATGGATCTCTGCCTTCCGAATGCTAGGATTAAAGGTGTGTGCTACCATTGCCTGACTTCTATGTTTACTATCATGGCTGGCTTTTCCCTCTGATCTTCAGATAAGCTTTATTAGGGTGCACAATATATTGGGGGGCATAATATATCACCACATTTTATTAATTCTACCAACACATAGGTAGACTATTTAATTACTGTACCTCTTTCTCAATAATAAACATCAAAAACCATGAAAATGGATTGACTTTGCATGTTAACCCAGATAGAAAATGGGGTTATGACATAGTCTTCTCTGTATAATAGCAGTATTTAAGTAGCATTTAGACTAGATCTATGACTTCCAAATGCCAATGTATGGCTTTCTCGCCACTGCCAAGGAAGAACAACACAACACAGAAGTTCTCATGATGTCCCAAATTAAAGCAGTGACAGGAAGTTCCAGTATAGAAGGCCTCAAGAATGGAGCTTGCAAGGATCTAATTAATCTACAAGTTGGGCTTCCTAACCAGGCCAAAGCTGAGTATGATAGAGATTCTTCTACACACACAAAAATTTTTTTAGGCCTAAAACATTTTTTTTTTTTTTTTTCTGAGACAGGGTTTTTCTGTGTAGCCCTGGCTGTTCTGGAACTCACTCTATATAGACCAGCCTGGCCTCAAACTCACAGAGATCCACCTGCCTCTGCCTCTTGAGTGCTAGGATTAAAGCATGTGCCACGACCTCCCAGCCTTGAATGAAGGTTCTTATATTGCTAGGATAACTATGACCCAGATTCCTGTTGTGATGTCACAATAGAATCACAGTCTGATTCTGAAGAATTAAGATGTAACTAATTGTATAATAAATTTTATTATACATTTTATTATTTATGCCCTTAAAAATAACTATAATTCTTAAGATTAATAATTTTAGTATAGATTTAATATGTGATGATATATTCTTTAAATAATTGCTAATGATCACTTCTTGGCTATAATCAAGGATGAAAATTAGTGAGTTTTTCTTTTTCTTCTTCCTTCTTTACCTCTTTCACTGAGAATGCTTTAATTGTTATCTGAACTTATTCAGTGATACACTCAAGAGACAACTAATTTTGAGAACTCTTTTTAGGTAAAACATATTTTTATTTCAAGAATATCAAAGGGACTGGGGATGTAGACCAGTCAGTAGGGTGCTTGCCTAACATGCACAAAGCCTTGTGTTCAAATCCCAGCACCCCATAAACTGGGTACAGTGGTATACATCTGTAATCCTAGCATATGGGAGGTAGAGGCAGGAGGACCAGGAATGTAAGGTCATCCTCATTTACACTGTGAGTTTGTGAGCCAACCTGGTACAGTTGTGACCCTGTCTCCAAAAGGAGACAAGTGATGGCGTGAGAGAAGAGAGAAGGTTGGAGAAAAAAAAGAGTAAAAAGATATTATCCTAACATTTTACATATAAGAAAGCTAATAAGTTAAATGTCCCTTTAAATTGGTATGCTTGAACAGTCAACATCAGTAAAACTTAAGCCCTGTGAAACTCATGATTATCTAGAACCATGTGTAAAACAGCATCATAGAGGTTTAATATAAAGCTCTTGTCCTGTTTGTCTGATTAAGTACTGTTTGCTAGACATCTTGTGTTTCTAAAAATAAGAATAATAACAAATAAAACTTCCCACCACTAGAATTTTTAGTAGTTTCAAAGTGTGTGAAATCACTTAGCAAGGAATATAACTTTCAAATTCATATAGAAGTCACAATCGTCTCTGCAAAGGCTGCTTCATTCAACAGGAGGCAACAGAGCGTCTTAGAAATATGAGTCGGGCCTTGTTAAATTATTGCCTCGATCTCTTACTAGATATGTTATCTTGGAAAAGTTGCTAGACCTTAAAAGATAAGTGATATCTAGTCCACACACTAGATGTAAGATTGAGATAATGAATATACAGTAAGTTCCTTTTATACACACAGAATCTATTTCAGTCTAGATCATGTGGAAACCTACAGGTAGGTCTCTTTGTTGTATTATCCAATGCTGCAAACTTTCTTAGTTCCACATCCAGAGACAGTCACGTTTACTGCAGACATCGATAATGGTTGTGAGCTTCTGGAATGTAAGATGTGTAGATCACAAAGAATGGAGGGGGGCACGGAGTGGATCAAAAGGGATGCCTGAAGGAAGGCAAGTGCAATTCCATCAAATGTCTTGGAAGCATTTTCCCAGACCCGTGCAAGGCACTATCAACCTCATAACCGGACATTCCAAAAGTAAGAAAGTGCATTTGTGGCAGTAAAAAACATAAAATAAAGCTGAAAATATTTTAAATAAAAGGGTTTCGATAAGCAAATTTAAGGAAAATCTGCCCTGCTAGCTTTCTTCTGGTTAAATTAAATCACTAAAACTTACTCAAACTGCCGTGTACAAAAAACTAAAATTCATAGGAAATTCTGGATAAATTTCCCACAAATATGATACGACACTGTGAAGTAATTTGTAGTATATTTCAACAAATCTAGGAAGTATTAGGTGTATTACCATTTATTTTACTAATCATTGACATTATCACGCGATATTATCTACAGATAAGCGAAAGCCTGGTAACTTCGTCCTTGCCACAAGAACGGATAGAAGAGTAATAAAAAGTTGCTTTAGGCCGGGCGGTGGTGGCGCACGCCTTTAATCCCAGCACTCGGGAGGCAGAGCCAGGCGGATCTCTCTGAGTTCGAGGCCAGCCTGGGCTACCAAGTGAGTTCCAGGAAAGGCGCAAAGCTACACAGAGAAACCCTGTCTCGAAAAACCAAAAAAAAAAAAAAAAAAAAAAAAAAAAAGTTGCTTTAAATGCCAGCTGAAATTTATTCTGGCTCTCAGAGCTCTCCCCAGCAGGGTCGAGGCGTGAGCTTCTGTGGATAAAATCTGGTGACTGCGGTAGCACAGACCACAGAGGAATTTAGGATTGCATTTCATTCTAGAAGGCATCTCAATACCAAGCGAAAGGGCGAGCACTGCCGTGTTTAGGGATAAGGCTTACGTTGGAAATCCTTCAAATAGTGAGGGGAGAAAAAAAACACAGTAAAGAGACTCAGGCTCCTAACAGCTTACCTTTTAGCGCCAGCAGGTGCTCCTGTTTCGGGGGGTTCACTTCCATCTTGACAGGCACTTCTGATCTCAGGCTCAAGAGTTTCACCTTGCGTCGAGAAGGAAACTGCAAAACACAAGTCCCGGAAGACCCGGTGTCAAATGCACGTCTAGCTTCTTTCTGCTCTTGATAAAATCTTTTTGCATTAAATCCGTTTATGGCCCCAGTGAAAATCTTTTCACGAAAGCCACTCCTTCGCTCAGAATTACACCGGCTGACTTCAATGAGCCACTTTTAGCTGACAATACATGGCTTCCCAAAGGCTTACACGGCGCGGTGGAGGGGTGGGGGTGGGGTTGGTGGGAGAGAGGGAAACACTCGAGTGGCATGCTGGGATTTGTAGTTTATTTTATACAAATTTAGCTGTGTCGGGGCGGGGATAAGCTCGTTTCAGTTCTGGAGGTAAAAATCATTACGGGAGCGGCACTTTCACCCTAAAGTTTTATTTATGCCCCATCCGTTCTTTTTATCTTCTTTCTTGTCTCCATTATTCGCAGACACCTTCGTGAAAAACAAAGCGTTCACGCGCAGGTCGTACAGGCGATGACTGACGGAAGAGAAAAGGCCGGAGGAGGCGGAGCGGCGCCCTGCCTGAACTGCGCATGCGTGCCGGCGGCATGCGCTGAGGCTTCTGGGTAGGTCGCCCAACCCCTCCTCTCAATTAAAGGCTCTGCTGCTGCTGTGGCGCGGCGCCTTCCAGGATGGCTGCCCTAGCTGTAAACAAGCCCGGAGCCGGAGTAGACAGTGGGCGGCAGGGCAGCCGGGGGACGGCTGTGGTGAAGGTGAGGGAACTTGCGTGCTCTGTTCTCCACATGCGGCCTCCCTTCGGTTCATCCTGGAGACCTGGTCGCGACTCTGCGGCCCAGGCTTGGCCGGGCGGGATGCGCGGCCCCCCGGATCCGGGTGGGCATGACCAGCCCTTGCTGTCTGTCCCGCGGGGTCCTGGCCTGGCGGGCCTGAAGTTGCCTGGTCTTGTAACTCAGGTGTCAACGTCGGTCATGGGGCTGTTTGTGAAAAGCACCGCGTGGGCCTGTGGAAGTTGACCTGGATGGGTCTTCCCCCCCTGCTCTTGTGTTTTCTAGTGAAGCCTCAACAGGCTTTCGTTGGCGTAGGTCTATTAAACAGCCTTTCCAATAGACAAGTACTATGGTAGATGCTTCATCTCGCCAGTGTCTACCTAAAAGGTAGATGTTAATTCTCATTTTACCTGGAAGGAACCCAGGGTTTGGGTTAATACAGTGTGTGGTAAGGGCCCAGCGTTTACTGGTTGTAAAAGTCTGCCTTTCAACCTTGCATTGTTTCTGTAATCATACATGTACATTTTTGAGCCGCCCTATGCCTCTGAATAGAAGACTGTGAAAACTTGTGGAAAGTCTCCAACTGCAGCATAATTGGGGTTTAACAAACTAGATGTATGGTGCACCCTCTGCTTGCAAGATTCTACCATATATTTATAAAATGCTTTTTCTAAAGATGAAGTCGAAGTGCATGAAGCTCGTTTCCCCCATCCACTGTAACATAGCTCTGAAAGGAGTGAGTGGTTGAGGGAGTACCTTTGGAGATCATCTGTAACCAAGAGATTGGTATTTTCCTCTTTCTGAGTGTGTGGACATCAGTACATTTTTTTTTTTAATTCTCAGAAGTGATTTTAATGTATACTTAATTGGATTGGTAACAGTGAACCAAGTCCAGTTGGACATTCTTTTAACTCGTTAAATGATAGATATCTTTTTTTAGCAAAGGTCTTTTTTTTTTTGAGGAATTTATGCTAACAATTTATTATTAGTCGTTTTTATTGGTTATTGATTCAGTTAACTTTTTTTATATTGAGTTGAATTCAGATTGCATTGAAGGTACAAAGATCTGAAATGTAGAGGAGCCCTCCTTATTAGGCATATTTTATGTTTGAGATTTACTATTTTGAACTGTGCTTTTGCCAAATGGAGAATACCTGCAGAATATTTTGTGAATTCAAAGTTGTTTTTTTCTTTCCATAATTGGAATAAGTATCGTGTCATGTACTCTCTTAGCCCTTTCTTTTCACTTTACCTGCGATATTCTGTGTATATACATAAACAACTTTAATCTTTAATGGCCTGCAGTTAGGGCATATGAATGCACTATAATTTATCTTTCAATTTAGTATTTATGTGTACATTTACTTTGTTTTTAATTCTTTAATGATATAAATGGTGCATTAGAGACCAACGTATTGATCTGTCATATGTGGGCTGGGGATGTGACTCAGTAGCAGAACTTTTGCCTGACACGTGCAAAAACCTGGGCTCCCCAGCAGTGGAGACGACAGTGTCGACAAGGATGAAAACATTAGGATTTTGTTGTTTGGGTAGTTCAGAGTAAATTCCTTAAACTGCTAAATTGCTTCCATGGATACTGTTATTACTCAGTAAATTTTTCATATTAGTCAGTGAGATTGTTTTCCTGCATTTCCTCCAGCTGCTGCATTTCATTGATACAAAGCATTAACAACTTTTTGAAAAAGTATATTGGTGTAGTTTTTCTGTGCACTTTAATGAGTTAGATTGAATTCTTTTTTTTTTTTTGGATTTATTTATTTATTTGCATTGGTGCATCTGTGTGAGGGTGTTGGATCCCGTGGAACTTGAATTACAGACAGTTGTGAGCTGAACCCGGGTCCTCTGGAAGAGCAGCCAGTGCTCTCAACCACTGAGCCATCTCTCCAGCCCCTAGATTGAACTCTTAATATAAAGTTTTCTTTATATATTTAGCTTAATATTACTTATAATATTTAATCTGTCTCCTTTTTTTCTGTACACTATACTACATTTAAGTTTCTTTTGAACTATACCAGTGTTCAAAGCAACTATGAATTACCAGTTTAACTACAGTAAAAGATGTTTGCATCTCAGTTTATTTATTTATTCTTTTAAAGATTTACTTATTTACCTATACGGGTGTTTTGTCTGCATGTACATCTGCACCACCAGAAGAGAGCATTGGATCCCGTGGGACTACAGTTTAGGTGGTTGAGAGTCACCATGTAGATGCTGGGAATTGAACTCAAGACCTCTAGAAGAGCAGCCAGTGCTCTTAACCACTGAGCCATCTCTCCAGTCCTGCATCTCAGTTTTTAAGTCTAAATGTATTGGAGAATCAAGTTTAAAATTGTAATGTGTGTAGTTAATTTAAAAATTACTTTTATTCTGAGATTATGCATTTTTGTTGTGTTTATAAAGCGATGAGACTAAAGTCCTTACCTAGTAGTTTTATATTGAAATCATAAGATTTTGTTTGTTTGAGAATCTCAGTATTTGATAAATAAAAATAAAATGTAAGGGGGCTGGAGAGATGGCTCAGTGGTTAAGAGCACTGGCTGCTCTTCCAGAGGCCCTGAATTCAGTTCCCAGCAACCACATGGTGGCTCTCAATTGTCTATAATGAGATCTGGGCCCTCTTCTGACCTGCAGGGATACATGCAGGCAGAACACTGTATACATAGTAAATAAATAAATCTTTAAAAAAAAAAAAAAAGGAATTGAGAATTTAAAAAAAGTTGAAATGTGTCTAATGAGATTTCCATTCAAACTTTTCTATTTTTTTGTTGTGTGTGTTGTTGGTGGGCTGAATTTTTTTTTTATTTTGTTGTATTTTATTTATATAAGCACATAGTTGCTTGCTATTTGGAGTGTACTGTTTTGTGCTCTTGTTCTAGGAAGGAAAGACAGGCTAGTCAGTGAAAGTATTGATGTGTTTGAGTCAGACAAACAGATAGATATTCAGAGTACATAGAAACCCAGAGGATAATTGTTTCGGTTGGAGTGAGAGGTGGGTAGACCAAGAGATACAGTACTTGGGAAATTTTTGATTTATGGAGATAAAAGCTTTAAAAAGGAATCCATAGGGTAAATGTTTAGCTGTTTCCTCAACATTAATTAGTATAAAGCAAGAGTCAAGAAACACTGTCCCATCCTGGGACACACTTGAACCATAGGGTCTGCAGGGTATGATAGTGAAGCAAGAGTACAGGACCAGACTGTAGTGTCCTGATGGGTAGACAATGGAGTAATTCATTGGGAATATTTTTAAAAAGTAATTAAAACTGAAAACAACACAAACAGTAGTTAATTGTAAAAGCATTGAAAATGATATGATAATTACAGTTTATGATTATTTATAAAGTATTAACCCATGGATCTGAGAGTCAGAGTGAGCCAGTTCTCACAGCGTTTTTTGACTGCCTTTCAGTAAGTCATATACCTGTGATTAAAACTAAATAGACAAATATTTTCCAAGTCAGAGCTACTTACTAATAAAGAACAGAAATTAAAATTTAATTGTCAGCTAATTTGTTTTTTGCCTTTACATTATTTTGCGAAGTCTAGAAGATACTTGAATATTCCTTGAAGACTTTCTTACAAGTTCTTTATAGTTTAGAAAATTGATTGTCATCCCAATACACATTTTAGATTGTTTTTTGTTTGTTTGTTTGTTTTTAGATCAGTGGTGTTTTAGCTGGACATAGTGGTGCATCCTGTAGTGCTAGCATTTGGGAGGCAGAAGCAGGAGGAGGACCACTGTATGTTTGAGGCCAGCTCGGACTGAGGTCCATCCAGGGATGCTCAGTGAAATGTCATCTTACAATGAAATAAAACAGGATTTAGAGAAATAACTAAGCTGTTAAGAGAGTACTGACTGCTCTTTTGGAGGATCCGGGTTTGATTCTCAGCACCCACATGGTGGCTCACAACCATCTGTAACTCTAGTTCCAGAGAATCTAATGCTCTCTTCTGAGTTCTGTGGGCACTGCATCAACATGGTGCAGACATATATTCAGGCAAAACATCCATCCATACACAAAAATAAAATCTCAAAACATGTTTTAAAAAAGGAAAGAAAAGCAAAATGAAATGATTGGGTGCTTCAGTAGAATTATAAATTGTTGCATATTCATTTTTCAGAAGATTAGATTATGTTAATTATGTTAATTTGCAACATAAGAGTATTTCAAAGAAGTTTTACTTTGGCAAGTTCTGTCAAATGGAAATGAATATGAATGTGATTTAACATTTTATAACTTAGTTTCCCTGACCCC